ATAATCTCATTTATTAAGACCTAATCAAAACACCTTGTTTTGCTTTTCACATGGGACATTTTTATATCTATAAATGTACATATATGTAAACCCTTTTTTAGCAGATTCAAACTAGAAGTACAAGCCTAAAGATTGATGTTTAACTCCTAGTATTTATGCTTATTGCTTTGTATTTAATAGACCTGTTCGTTTTTATGTTTATATTAACCTCTCATTTCCTCATATTTCTCTCATGCATTTGTTATATTTTATTCATAATTCTCTCTTATTGTTTAAAAATGAACTACAGTTTGTAGAGACTGTATTCTGTTTTACTTGTAAATGTTTTGTTGTTATAAATAAAAATAACAAAAAAAATGATGATGCCATGTGATCGGTCATCATGACTGCAGCAACTTTGAGTCCCGAAGTGTCCAGCTGTCCGTCTTGACGGCTCCGTTTTCAACTCCGCCCCCGCCTGCGCTCGGCTAATCTCTTTGATCACCGGCTGCAGCTGAGCTTCATGTCGAACGCACCTTAAGTGTCTGTAAGCCTCTCCCCCTTCCCTAAGACAACTCTGCTCTGATTGGTCAGCTGGCCAAGTCTGTCTTTCTGTCATAAAGGGAAACGCCCATTTCAGAGTGTTCTTATTATGCTTGACTTATGCATATGAGTTACATTCGTTCATTTTCCATTGGCTTAATCTTTATTCCAGAGGTCACCACAGCGGAATGAACCGCTAACTATTCCAGCATATGTTTTACACAGCGGATGCCCTTTCAGCCACAACCCAGTACTGGGAAACACTTATACTGTACACACTCATCCACACACACACACAATTAAACACTACGACCAATTTAGTTGATCAATTCTGTGTTTGGACTGTGGGGGAAACCGGAGCACCCAGAGGAAACCCACACCAACATGGGGAGAACATGCAAACTCCACACAGAAATGCCAACTGACCCAACTGAGACTCGAATCAGCGACCTCGCTGTGAGGCCACACTGCTAACCACTGAGCCACCCGATCATGTTCACTGATCAATTCAATACGCCAAAAAACAACATTAATTTGTTTCCCCGTTGTCAGATTATTTTGCATATTTTTAATGACAAACTCACTTAATTTTGACAAATTATTTCTGAAAACAAAGCAAAATGTCTGCTTGAATTTTTAGATATTTGTACAAAAAACAAGACAAAGAAATCCAAGTGTGTGTGTGTGTGTGTGTGTGTGTGTGTGTGTGTGTGTGTGTGTGTGTGTGTGTGTGTGTGTGTGTGCGGTGACTCGTGAACACAGACTTTAGTAAACAAACATTAGCTGTCTCTGCAGTGATGTGTGAGCCATAAAACCCTCAGCGACTGATAACCTCCACAGACAGACTAAAAAGGGAGATTGAAACACATTCCTCATCCTAGTGCACTTCATCAGTTTTGCAGACAGCACAGGGAGGGAGTGTGGTGATATAGAGAACAAACCTCCCAGTCTCACACTGACCTCAGTGCTGGCTCTCTTACTGGAAGTGAAGTGGAAATCTACAGTATACACACACTCTCTCACTCATTTACTACATGACAGCGTGAGCTGCTGATACACCAATTACACAGAATGTTCTGGAAAGGTTCTCTCCAAGTTAGCTTTCTGTCTGTCTGTCAGTCTTTTTTCTTTCTTTCTATCTCTTTCGTTTTGTCTCTTTCTTTCTTTCATCATTTTGTCCTTAATTAATTATATCTGTTATAATCAGACCGGATATAAACAGTCTGCTGAATCACTCAGGCCCCGTTTACACTAATGTGTTTTAGTTTGAAAACGCATAAGTTTTGCTACTGTTACGCCATCCGTCCACACTACGCCGGAGGTTTTGACCGCCGGAAACGGAGCGTTTCGAAAACGCTGGAGAGGCTGTTTTCATTCTGAATTGCTGCTGCTCTGTCTCAGTGTGGATGAGGGAAAACGGAGACATCTGAAAACGGAGGCGGGGCTGCTGAGATTCGCTAGCTGATTGGGGGTTTTGTGTCATTGTGTATCCTTCCCTTATTCGTCAAGCCCCTATCACATGACTATAACACATGACTTTAACGCTACCGGAAGACAGCAGACCAGCCTTCACAGTAAATCACAACATGTACACAGAAATGGGAGCGTTGTTTGCACTACTGTCTGTTTTTGGCGCCATTGTGCAGTTAGGCAAGGCAAGGCAAGTTTATTTATATAGCACATTTCATACACAGTGGCAATTCAAAGTGCTTTACATAAACAAGAATAAAAGAAACAAGTAAAATAAAAATAAAAACAAATAATAAAAATGTGTGAAAAAAACACAAAAAAAGGTAAAATGTGATATAAAAGAATGAAGAAGAAGAGAAAAACATGATAGTGCGATCTGTCAGACGCAGCACAGTGCTCATTCAGTAAAGGCACAGCTAAACAGATGTGTGTTCAGTCTTGATTTGAATGCGCCTAATGTTGGAGCACATCTGATCATTTCTGGAAGCTGATTCCAGCAGCGGGGGGC